TCTCTCTCTCTCTCTCTCTCTCTTTCTTTCTCTCTCTCTGTGTGTGTGTGTGTGTGTGTGTGTGTCCCTCCCTTCTACTCTCTCTAAAAATCAATAGAAAATTATCCTCAAGCTGAAACCGGTTTGGCTCAGTAGTAGAGCGTCGGTCTGCGGACTGAAAGGTCCCAGGTTCGATTCCGGCCAGAGACATGTACATGGTTGTGGGCACATCCCCGATAGGGGGTGTGCAAGAGGCAGCTGATCAATGTTTCTCTCTCATCGACGTTTCTAGCTCTCTATCTCTCTCCCTTCCTCTCTGTAAGAAAATCAATAAAATATATTTAAAAAAAAAAAAAAAGAAAATTATCCTCGAATGAGGATTGACAAAACAAAACAAAAAATTCACCTGCAGATACAAAATTTTTCTGGAAACCATTTCAAAGTATGTGTATAAAAATATTTGTAGATACAGGTGTTAATTTTCACAATAAATGAACTAGGTTTTCTTAGCTCAGTTTTGCAGATGTCAACACAGAAACCCAGAAAGGTTAAATTAAGTTGTCTAAAGACATACTCTTAGAGTGATCAAGCTAAAATTTAATACCTTGTCTACTTGAGACCCAACCACTACACTGCTCTAAATGATGCAATAAATAAATAAATAAGAGCTACAACCAGTTTTACAAAATATACAGAACATATTTCAACCAGAGCTTCCACTGAGGAAAAGGGAATAATATTAAATTGTTACTTTGTGAAAAAGGAGGCAGGTGGAGGGAAAGAGGAAACTGAGGAATTTGATTTTCCATTTTGCTTTCCAGTGGCAAAACTCAATGTAGAGGTGGGATCTGACTAATCCAATAATGCTAACACCAACTCCCAAAATAACATTAATGCTAACCCCAGAAATGCTATCTCAATATCTCCAGTTGTTGATATAACCAAACAGGCACTAGATCTCATTCTATTCCCCTTTTTTTCTTCTTTTTTTGCAGAAGTTAGCATCACAGGATTTACCTTTTTCTCTTCCTGGTAGCCCTGGCCCAGAGTCCTCAGTAGCTCTCCCTGCAGAGAATCTCTCTTAAGCCCCCACATGCCTTTGGTGGTTTTTCTGGAGGCTTCAGACCCTCCTGAAGGCTGACTTTGAGCTGGCACAAGGAACCAACAGAAATGGTTCCAAGCCAGGCCTGATTGTAGTCCTAAATTCCTCAGATATGAGGGCCTTTAAGCCATGTGGGAATCATGGTAAAGAAGGCAGCTTCAATTATATTAAGTGAAATAAGACAGTCAGAGAAAGATAAATATCACATGATCTCACTCATTTGTGAGTGGAATATAATGAGCAACATAAACTGATGAACAAAAACAGATCTAGAGATGGGGAAGCATAGATCAGACTGTCAAACCTCAGAGGAAAAGTAAGGGAGGGTGAGGGTAAGGGGGAGAGATCAACCAAAGGACTTGTATGCATACATATAAGCCTAACCAATGGACACAGACACTAGGGGGTGATGGCATGAATGGGGAATGGGGGGACAATGGAGGGATAAGGACATATATGTAATATTTTAATCAATAAAGGGAGAAAAAAAAAAGGAAGAAGAAGGCAGCTCCATCCTGAAGCCCATCTCATGAAAGAAGTTGCCATCTCAGGCCACCTAGGCACCCAAATGCTGACCGTGATAGTAATTGCATTTCAGCCTAGAACTTTGGATCTTTATAAATTCAGTCAAATAATTGGTTTAGATTGACTGAGTCCTCACTGGACTGAACCATTACATATACAGAGGGGTCCTTTTAAAAATTCAATGTTACTCTTCATTTCTTCTGAATTTAAAATAAAAATACATGCTCGATTATTTAAGCCCTCACAATCCAGGCATCTATATAGAAAAAGTTAAAGATTCCAGCTATGCCAAGATGTAAACTCCATCAAAAGTTTTTATATTTCTTTCCAGACCTTTTTTTATGCACCTATAGACATATACCCTCCCTCGTGGAATTATAGTCTACACAGCTATTCTCCAACTCCATTTTTTCCCAGTTAGGCATTGTTTCATGTCTAATCATAGACATCTATCTCATTTTTTAAAAATCTCCTGTAAAATATTTCATATTAAGCATGAACTATCATTTATTTATATGATCCCTTACTAATGGGCAAGTAGGTTGTTTCTAGTTTTTGCTACTATAGACAATGCTAGGTTAAATATCTTTTCTCAATTATGCAAAAGGTCTCCAATATTTCCAATTTCTTTTTCCTTGGGAATTGGTAAAAAAAACCCTAACTGACCATAGCAAATATTTGTGCAGTGGCATTTTACATTTCCTTTCTTAACTTTCAGGCTCTGATGATCCCCTTCTATGTGTCCTATGCACCCTTCACCACCTACCTAGCAACCTGAGCCAGAGGTTGCTTTATATCAGTACCTCGTTATATCTTTTGCAGAGTAATTCCCAGGCTCTGTCAGCATTCTTTCCCTAAGATATTTTCTGCCCAAGTCCTTCTGCCTGCTTTCTCCTTTTCCAAATGTAACCCAATGTCCCTGAAGCCTCCAAGAAACACAGGGTAGCTATGTTTCTTGGGCATCCAGAAGTCTCTGTCTCTCATTTCTGAACCTTACTTACTCTTATTTCAGCTTCTTTTGTGAGTTCAGGCAGCCTTCTCATGCCTACTTCTTACCAAACCTAGTCATGAAGCTCCATCCTATCTCCTTGAGGAGTCAGTGTTCAATTGAATTCTGGTGGTGGGACAGGGGAAGAGTCTGACTGAGGGCAGTAAATCCATCCACCATTCTTCCCTCTGGCACCCCTCATACTGCACTGCCTCCCTCACCCTTTGGTTCCTTTGACGAGAGCCTCCCTGTCACAAGATGTCCTCAAGAAACATAATGTCTCATTTTACAGTCCGTCAGGTTAGCCTGCTCATCAGCCCATCTCCCAGATCTGTTAGATTATAAGTCCATTTTGTCATGAAAAAGTACCACCTCTCTATTCCAGGAGCCCCAGAGCTCTAAGTCTCTGTCTCTGACCATCTCTGCAGCTGCTTCTGCAGTCAGCCTTCATCTGGGGCACGTGAGGCCTAGAGCTCTACTCCTTTGTGCAGGAAGTAAAACTGCTAGATTCCTCCATTGTGTAAAAGAACCACTTGGGCAGGGATGCAAACAAAGTGCTTCTTCCTATGCAGCTCTAGTGGCGACAGTAATTCAGGACTTGCTGTTTCCTGCCCACTGTCTCCTGACCCAGCCTCCTCCAAATTCCTGCCCTGATGCCAATGACAGTGTTCTGGTTTCTGGGGGAGGTATGTCCACCAAGGAGAAGTTAGCATGAGAACTTTAAGGCACATGGAGCCAGAAAATAAATTGAGACACATAACTTGGGAGTGACTCTGAACTGATCTAAATCTCTTCATTCAACCACCAGGCAGTAAGGTGAGTTATGGAAACATTCTCTTGAATAGTCTTTTTTAGCATTTTATTATTACTACGCAGCAGTTGATTCTCAAAGCTGTGTCTTGGGCAATGAACAAGCAGAAGTCTTTTTCCTTTTTTCCCCCATTCCTTCCTCCAAGTTGCCCTTTGAAAGTAGTCAGAAAGCCAGATACTATCCCGAGTTATCTCATTTACTACTTCTAACAATCTTATGACATGAGTATCATTCATCCACTTAAAAATGAAAAAAAATCTGAGTCTCAGAGAAGATGCATAATTAAAATCACACAACCAGTAAATAGTGGACCCAGAATTCAAACCAAGCTCAGAATAACCCCACATCCGTGTCCCTCTTCACAAAATAGACTGTTGATGAGGCGGGAACATTCTGACTCAGTTTTCATTCTTAGGTGCCAAGGTTCATTGAAAAAGTTTTCTAATCTAGTTGTAATTTCCAAAACTCAGAAAAGCAACATAATTAACTTAAAAATAGGTTTTAAAAGTCAATGTTTACACTGGGAAACCTCATATTAATTAGTTAGGAGGTGGAAGACAGGAGACTTTTAAAAGTGTTTAAAGGGAATTTCCATTTTCAAGGGTTTTGGAGGCTGACACCATATGCTTTTTTTGTTTTACTTTTTGATTTTTATTGTGGAAAAAAAAAGGCCACTTCTAAGAAAAGATTACGAAACATGAATATGTACAATGCTGGTAAAAAATAGAAAGTTACCAGTAACTAGAACCCTTCCCCATCAGACAGCATCTGCTCTTTGGTTGTCTACATTTCTGCAATATAGACACATTCTTTTTTCTTGATGCTGTCAAGACTCTTTGACTTTGATTAAAATCATTCTAATGATTCATAAAAGAACAAATAGAAGGAGAAAGAGAAAATAATTCCTGTGGTAATGGGGCAAGAACTAGAAAAAAGGAAAAGAAGCAGACGATTGAAGAGGATAGATGGCTGGCTGGCTGGATAGATGGATGGATGGGTATTTGTGAGAAAGCTGTTTTCTGGGGGAAGAGGTATGAATAGAACTAAAAGGGAAACAATGTAAAAAAAAATAGGTGTGTGCTTTGGAAAGTAAAAAAGATGTGTTGGTGAAGGGACAGAGGCCCCAAACTCTGAGCTGTTGGCTCTATCAACTGGAGGCTTAAGCTGTTCTTTGGAACAAGTGAGGAGGAGGGAGGGGAGAGAAGGGGCAGCGTGAGGGGAAAGGGCATTTGGGGAGAGACCCTGTCACCCATTTAGTCACCTTTTGGGAGACATCCCTCAGACAATATCTGAGAGTGTGAATCTCTTATCTCTTCTAAACAGAAAGATCAGTTCCCAGGCATCATTTTGTTACTGGTATTTGGGGGTGGGGAGGGCATGATAAACATGATACATGAAGTACCATTGAGTGAGTATTGAAGCAAGGAGGCAAGGACTGAAAATACAACCGTAGCAACCTGACTAGTATCTTAGCAGAAGAAGTAATTTAGTATAGTCTGGGAAGAACAAAAAGGACTCATAACAAAGCTTTGTCATCAAATACATTTATTTAGTTTATGACTCCAGTTTACTTCACTTTTTTTCTTTTCCCCCAGGAGCCTTGCAAACAACAATCTCCAGACGCTCCCAAAAGATATTTTCAAAGGCCTGGATTCTTTAACAAATGTGTAAGAGGACCTGAATGATTAATTAATTTGTAATAGTTAACAAAGAAGCCTGGTATTGATTATTAGAATTTTTAATTGGCTTTAAAATTAAATTAGAATTTTAGAATTTAAGTTGACTTGAATTTTAAATTTACTTGCACTGTTTTTCTTCTATAGTATTTACCACTAGACATTCTGAAAATATAGTGCCCAGACATTCCTTTGACAAAGTGTGTGTCTGTGTGGGAGGGAGTGATGATAAAGAAGTTTAAGGAGTGGGACCAGGAGGCCCAGATAGAAATCTCAAGATGCCTTTTTTCCCCAAGAGGTCCAGGAAATGGGGCTACAAAGGAAAAACATAAAGGAATCTGGGGAACAGATGAAAGGTTACACCCATGGGTTGGTCAGTCAACAGAGAATTGGAGCAGGAAATGGGGGAAGGGAGGAAAGTTTGCCTTTTCTCTCATTAGACTGAACAACAACTCTAGGCTTAATCCCCAGGAATTTGGCTTAAACCCCAGGAAGGGAATGAACTTAATTATTTTTGACCCCTTTTCAAACAAAAGAGCTTTCAAACTTTGACTTTTAAGCCTCAGAGTGAAAGATCTTTGTAAGGAATTTGTATATTTTGCTATAAGCAAAGCAAGTAATATATGCCTGAAGCTCTCAAAAGCAATTTAGCTTCATTAACTGCCTTCCAGAACATTTTAAAGGTATTTAAATTCCATAAAATAGAATTCAGGAACAAATGAAAGAACATATGAAAACAAAAGATTTCTTATTATTCAGGTACTTTGCTACAAACTATTCAGAACAACTTTTCTCCAATAACAAAAAATCTGAGTCAAGTGTTTTCTCCTAAGCCTAGTATTTAAGTTCAAATCAGTAAACTACTGAAAAACTTACTTTGTTCCTTGTAGTATTCCCCCAACCCCTCCTTCATGCCTATTAGCCCAATTCCTGGTTTATTTCCAAGAGAGTGCAGGGATCAGGACATTTCCAAGAAAGTCTCTAACAGACCACAGTTACCTGCTCTGGTTAACAATAGCCCAGAAAAGTTGACACTTATTATTCTGGGTCAGAATATTCTCGGGAGATTAGGTCAGTATTGGCAATGTTTTAGAAGTTAGATGACACCTCATGGCAGACTTGAGGATACAGCTTATTTGGGACCCTTTGTCTTATCTTTATGTCAGCCTATACCTCACACTAACAAAAAATAAAAGAAAGCCACTTGAAATTGTCTCAGTCTCTCCAGGGAATCCCATAATGGGTTTGGCTTCTTGGGCCTACTTTGATATGCCCAAATCAAGAATTATCTAAGAAGTACAGGATTATGCCAACTTGACTTTTAGTGAATTTCTTGGTTTTCTTGACTATGTCTGCTGGGGAAAAAAATTTACAGATTCTACATTTCAAAAGATTTTTATGTGCTGTGTGAAGAGTAGGCAATGGTTACTGTACAAATTCTGTGTGATGAAGAAGGGTTTTAGGAAGGAGATGAACAACAGCAGTGCAAACAAATAGAAGTTGGTAAGTTGGAATCATATGTGGAAATTTAAACTATCTAGATGTGTGGTTTATTATGAACATGAGTTATTGCATGTCTGCGTTAACTCTGCTTGTCAAAGTCATTTCCTATTAAAATTGAATTTGTAGACCATGAAATAAGGTCAGGATTAATTATGTCTCTGAGGAAGAAGAAAAGCAAATAACACACTTCATTTAATTAAATATGATACAATAATCACTACATACTTTCCTCTAGATCTGCGCTGTCCAGTATAGTAGCCACACATGTGGTCACTGAGCACTTGAAGTGTGACTGAGGAACTGACTTGTAAATTTTACTTAATTTTAAAAATTTAAACTTAAAAATTGATTCTCGGTTCAATTATTGGAAAACTTTTAAGTCTCTGTGCAACAACTTGCGTGTGTGAATCTATTTTTTTAACTGGAAATTTTATTAAATCTTAAGAGCACATCAGGTATTTCTGATGAAAATTTAGCATCCAAATTGAGATATGTTATAAAATGAGTATAAAATAAACATTAAACTTAAAAGATTTAATATAAAAAAGAATGTAAAATATTTTTTATTAATTTTTATAATGACTGCATATCAAAATAATATTTTGTATATATTGGGCTAAATAACATATAATATTAAAATTAATTTCACCTGTCTTTGTACTTTTTTAATGTGCCTATAGAAAATTTTAAATTACATATGTCATTCACATTATATTTCTATGGACAGCACAGCTCTAGACCCAGCTATCTTTGAACCTAAGAGCGAGTAAGTTAGGAGGTTCCTTTGACTGGGGTGGCCTGTGAGAGTACACTGTGGTAACTGAGCTCAGAGAGAATTAGTCAGGTTCAAGGTGGATTCTGGGGCATTTGGCAATGCTAATGGCTGAAATAGAAGTCATACTGTGAAGGTAGGATTCACAGAGAGCAAAAGCAGCTGAAGTTTGTCTTTCAGGGACCTCAGAGGGAATTCATTTAATTGTGACTGTAAACTGAAGTGGCTGGTGGAATGGCTAGGCCACACCAATGCAACTGTCGAAGACATCTACTGTGAAAGCCCTCCAGAATACAAGAAGCGCAAAATCAATAGTCTCTCCTCCAAAGATTTTGATTGTATCATTACAGGTAATGTATTCTAAGTTTTTCCACTGCATAAAATTAAAAGAAGGGCTACACTTTTTGCATGTGCAGGAACTGATATTTTTATATCTCAAAAACCAACTAAGCAATTTAATTTTTAAAATATTATGAACCCTTGAAACATCATGCATTTAAAAGCAAAGTAAAATTGTCATTTTACTACTTTTCTAAAATAAATGCATTTGTTATGGACATCTGAGATCTAGCCAAGGAGCTAGACTTTAGCACACAGTTACTCATTGTCACTTCCTATTTTTGCAGAATTTGCAAAGTCTCAAGAGCTGCCTTATCAATCATTGTCCATAGATACTTTTTCTTATATGAACGATGAGTATGTAGTCATTGCTCAGCCTTTTAATGGAAAATGCATTTTCCTTGAGTGGGACCATGTAGAAAAGACCTTCCGGAATTATGACAATATTACAGGTATGAGAAGCCTAATCATATTTTGAGTGGAAAGTTAAGCTGCTTGGATCAAGGGCAACAGGAAAAGATGAGCGATATTGTGCAGGCTTTGAGACATTTGAATCCCAACTTTGCCATTTACTGAATGATCTGAAATTGTTCCCTAAACTTTAATTTCCTCACTTGTAAATCTGAAATAATAATACTTAACTCACAAGGTTGTCAAAGATAATGCAAGCATATACTCAAGAAACATACCATAGTAACTAGCTTAGTAAATATGCAACAAAAGGTGGGTAATTTTTCCTCAAAGAGAAAGCATTAGACTAGGAATCATGAGTTCTAATGCAGGTTCTGCCACAAACTGGGAAAGCCGCTCACTCTCACTGGGCCCTCTTTTTCCTTAACTTTAAAATAAGAAGGTTATTTTAGATCATTGAGTCTCAAACTTTGTTGCGCAAACATTACTTCTGTAAAATATTAGTGTATGCCTGTGACAAAAAGGATTTTGTGGTCAAATACATCTATGAACCTATCTCCCTCTTGGAGATACAGAATAATACACATTGCAGGCTCTGAGAAGTCCTAACAGTGAAAAAATAAGCCTCTTTCCAGATTTTTTTGCATTAAATTTGACCATGGAAACCAAAACTTATACTCAGGTGATCTCTTAGGTTCCTTTCTCATTTCAACAACTTGAAATTTTTTAAGTAATAAATTAAAACATAGGACACCCTGTGAAATATTTCTATCAGCTTTAGTTTCTAATACCTTTAAATCTGATCCTAAAAGCTCCTAGACAAAACGGAGAGGGTCATAATTAGATTTTGTTAGTGGTCATCGGCCCCATTAATCAAAGGACCAATACAGGTCTGAGCTTGCTTGAGACAGAGGTACCCAGATGAAGGAATCCCCTCCTAACTGATACCCTTTTAAAATCCTCCTTCTTTCTCAAGAAGAAAGGCTATCTTCCCTTTCTCTCTAAGCCGTCCTTGTTTTCCAGTGGATTACATTAGGTATTTGTGTAATCTAAACCAGTTCTTTTTACCTATTTATATTCCATCAATTGCTTTGTTGTTGTTGTTAATCCTCATCCAAGATATTTTTTCCGTTGATTTTTAGAGGGAGTGGAAGGGAAGGGGAAAGACAGAGGGAGACAAACATCGATATGAGACACATAAATTGTTGCCTCCCACACATGCCCTGATGAGACCAGGGATGGAGCCTGCATCGGAGGTTCATGGACTTGACTAGAATCTAACTCCAGATTCTTCAGTTGATGGGCCGATGCTCTAACCACGAGCAAAACTTACTAGGGCTTGAATGAATCTTTAGATGAGCACTTGAGAGAGAAATGAATCATGTACTTGCAACTTCAAAATGCATCATCTAGGGGTCTAGTAATAATTAATGTCGTTTTTAAACATTCGTTTAAAATCTTGCTTGGCGTTGATTTGTATTGACATAACCTTCAAACACGTGGTATCTACAGAACGTGTGAAGTGCAATTAACAAGTTTTGCTTGAAAAAGTTTGTGTTTGGTTTGGTTTTTGTTGCAAAACTAGGGCTAAGAAGATGGCGGATGAAGAGCATATTCGGCACTGCATGCTTTACGAGTTCCAATTAGGAAGAAAAGCAAGTGAGGCTGCAAAAAACATCTGTAGTGCTCTTCTTGGTCAAGATGCAGTTAGCGCCAGAAAATGCCAGCATTGGTTTGAGAAATTTCGCGAGGGAAATTTTTCGTTAGATGACAAGAGTGGTCGAGGCCGTGTGTCCAATTTTGATCAAGAAGCTCTTCAAGCTCTTTTGGTGTAAAATCCTCAAATTACCCAACAAGAGCTTGCGACAACTTTAAATTGTTCACAAAAAACAATTTCCAATCAATTGCGTGCACTTGGCAAAGTCCAAAAGTTTGGAAAATGGGTTCCTCATGAGTTGAGCGACAACAACCGTAATCAAAGAGTCACAATTTGCAGTTCGCTCCTCTCTCATCAAAACCGTTTGCCGTTTTTAGAGCAAATTGTTACCGGAGATGAAAATGGGTGCTGTATGTTAATTTGAAAAGGCGGCCTCAATGGTTAGACAAAAATGAGGCTCCGCAGCCCACGCCAAAACCTGACTTGCATGCGAAAAAAATGATGTTGTGTGTTTGGTGGAATTTTAAAGGAATTCTTCATTATGAACTTTTACCATCTAACCAAACCATTACAAGTGCAGTGTATAGTGCCCAATTGGAAAGGTTAGCCCAAGCTTTAAGAGAAAAAGAACCGGCGCTGATTAATCGGAAGGGCGTAATTCTTCACCACGATAACGCACGACCGCATACTGCAAGAATCACTGCTGAAAAACTGCGCCAGTTGGAATGGGAAGTTCTCCCTCAACCTGCATATTCTCCTGATATTGCCCCTTCCGATTACCATTTGTTTCGTTCTTTGCAAAACTTTCTTCTTGGAAAAAAATTTAATAATGAAGAATGCCTCAAAAATGCATTGACCGAATTTTTTGCATCAAAATCACAAGAATTTTACAACAGAGGGATTAAAATGCTTCCTGAGCGTTGGGCACAAGTAGTAGAAAACAATGGCAACTATATTGTTGATTAAATTTTGTTGTATTGTTTAAATAAATTCGATTTTAAAAAGCATTAGAAAACGACATTAATTATTACTAGGCCTAGTAATAATTAATTACTAGTAATAAATAATTAAGACCTAGTAATAATAGTATAAAATGACAGACAGACGTCATGTACATGATCAGCATCTCGTCCCTCACCCTCAGACAGACATTGCTAATCTACTGTGGTGCTCTTTCTTGCAGAGTGCAGCAGTGGCCACAGAATCCTTCTCAACACAGTTCTCCAGGCAGTTGCTCTTATCCTCATCAGTCAGTCATTGTGGGTACATAGTTAAAATCTAGTGACCGGTCCTGATCTATTTTCAACTCTCTCTGTACAAAAGAGAAAACTAAATCCCATGGAAGTTAAGTAACTTTTCCAAGGTCACACACTCAGTTGAGTCCTGAAAAGGGTCACAAATAGAGTAATTTTGACTCTGGATGGAATCAATTAGTAGAAAGAGTTGATGCAGAATTTATTGCCTCAGTGCCCCCTAGGCTGCAGGCAGAAAAGACCAGGGGCCTAGATTTGCCACGCTTCTCTTTGAATTACCTAGAACCAAGCTCCCTCGAGGAGTTCAGAATATATTAATAAAATATTAAACTCTCACCAAAAAGATACTGAGCTAGGCCACTGACAGACCTCGTGTTGTTCTCTAATATTCCCAGTGTAACATTCATAAGCATCATTTCCCTCTTCCTTCTCATCTGCTATCAGTGACATGAAGATGCAGAAAAATGCCACGTGGCATCACTTTCCTTTTTCAGGGGAAAGGTTATTCAAGAAGTAATTTGCACTTAGAAGAAACCAATTACAAAGCTATGGGCTTCACAAACCACCACTCAAACCTCCTAGAACCTTGTGGGATCTAAGCCCAAGATGGAAACCCTGGAATACCTACCTGCCCACCCCATAGCGATGCTGGTACGCCTGAGTTTGAATCCCAACTCTGCCTACTCCTAGCAGCATTGAACCTCTCTGAGCTTCAGCCTGCTCATCAACAAAAGGGAAGATAGTAATATTCATTATTTAACCTTTTGAAAAATTTTAATGAGATGATTTGACAAAGCAATAGTCAGTGCTCAATAAATGGCTGTTTTCACTACAAAGATTAACTCATGATGTATTAGGGAGAGCAATGCTTTCTTTCTGCAAGAAATGAGAGAAGGAAACTCAGGCTATAGCCATGTATCCTAAATATCTAGTGCAGATTAGATGTAACATGACAATGTCTGTATGCTCCAAAAGAGGATGACCATCCAGCTAATCTCTCATTTGTCTTTTCCCAGGCACGTCCACTGTAGTATGCAAGCCTATAGTCATTGAAACACAGCTCTATGTTATTGTGGCCCAGCTGTTTGGTGGCTCTCACATCTATAAGCGAGACGGTTTTGCGAATAAGTTCATAAAAATCCAGGACATTGAAATTCTCAAAATTCGAAAACCCAATGATATTGAAACATTCAAGATTGAAAACAACTGGTACTTTGTTGTTGCTGACAGCTCAAAAGCTGGTTTTACTACCATTTACAAATGGAATGGAAATGGATTCTACTCCCATCAATCCTTACATGCGTGGTACAGGGACACTGATGTGGAATACCTAGAAATAGCCAGAACACCTCAGGCGCTCAGAACGCCTCACTTAATCCTGTCCAGTAGTTCCCAGCGTCCAGTAATTTATCAGTGGAACAAAGCAACACAATTATTCATTAACCAAACTGACATCCCTAACATGGAGGACGTGTATGCTGTAAAGCACTTCGCAGTGAAAGGTGATGTGTACATTTGCTTGACAAGATTCATTGGTGATTCCAAAGTAATGAAATGGGGAGGCTCCTCATTTCAGGATATCCAGAGGATGCCATCACGAGGATCTATGGTGTTCCAGCCTCTTCAGATAAATAACTATCAATATGCAATTCTTGGAAGTGATTATTCTTTTACTCAAGTGTATAACTGGGATGCAGAGAAAGCCAAATTTGTGAAATTTCAGGAATTAAATGTTCAGGCACCAAGATCATTCACATATGTGTCTATTAATAAACGCAATTTTCTTTTTGCTTCCAGTTTTAAGGGAAATACACAGATTTACAAACATGTCATAGTTGACTTAAGCGCATGACACACCAGTTCTGTGGCTGCCATCAGAAACTTTCTACAGTACATGGTCCGGATGAACTCAATGCATGATAACTCTTCTTATCCCACTTGCAAATGAATGCCTTTCAAACATTGAGACTGCTAGAACCAAGCACTACCAGTATCCCCATCTTTAACTGTCCAGTCCGGTGGTGTGGGAAGTTACCTTTTATAAGAGAAAATTGAATTGTATAACTGTTATTTGCAGTGAAGATGTGTAAATAAGCATTTAATGGTATCTGTTACTCCAAAAAGAAATATTAATATGTACTTTTCCATTTATTTATTCATGTGTTCAGAAACAACTGCCAAATAAAATGTTTACATTTTCTTTCATATCCCAAGGTAATTACTTAAGGGAGTTTAGGTTTTTTTCTTGGTGATGGTGTATTTAGGAAATAGTTTTATACCATAAGGTTCTATTTGAATTAAGAGTTTATGTATGTTGTGACTGAGTGAAGGTGAAACATTGATATTGATTACCATAATTTATGAAAAGGTTCATCCGTTGATTTTGAACATTGAAAGGTGTTTCCAAAAGTCATGGTTTTTAGGAACACTTTGAGGTAAAGTGGTGACAAATTAAAAGAAGGGTAGAGAAATTTGCTTATTACAAGAAGACTAATTTGGAATAAAAACTGTAAGACCCATCCTTTCCTATTCAATAGCTGCAGCTACAGCAATCATTCAAACAACTTAAAGGATAAGTTATAGCCAAGATTTGGGATTTTCAAAACCCTCTTTAGGAATTTTCTAACTGTCTGACTCTAGAATCATCTGACAGCTGATTGAGATTGTAACCTTAAAGCACTGGCCTCAAATACACTTGGAATGAAGGCCTCTTGATTTGACCAAGGACTTCTAGGCCAAGTTTGATGTTATTGACATGCTGCAGAGTGCCAAGGAGAATCATATTTGATTTTCTAAAACCCTGCTCCTGGATCACAAGGGTCAGTAGCAAGTAACACAATGCCTGTGCACTCTGTGGGCTCTCAGAGGTGCACATGTGTCTACTGTTAGAATAATACACTTTATGAGGCCCTTTGATCTTACCAGTCAGTATGTATTGAGTACCTAATAAGAATAAGGTATCATTCCTGTGGTGTTGGGGAGAGAACTGAGAGAGGGTAAGGCACTGTTCTTGCCCTCTGAGTCCTTAGAAGGCTCATTGGCGGGTTAGGACACAGCAGAGCAAGCAGTAAGTGGCAGGTATCATCTGAACATCCAATTGTAAGTTTCAGGAGAGCATCAGAGATGTCTTCCTGAAAGAAGTGGTCCTTGTTTGAACTTAAGGGAAGATAGGAGTTTAAATGGGGATTACAACAGAGAAAGTATTCCTGGCACTTGGTTCTGCATGCTGCCTTTAAGGAAGGGAACAGAGCTTCCTCCAGCTTCCCCAGAGTCTTTGACCAAATGATTGTGGGAAGGTGTGGGTAAGGGGACAGCAACACCTCTGCCAGCACTTACCTGGAAAACTTGTGGCATCAAAGGTACACACCTCATTATAGAGTCTTCCAGAAGCAACACCTTAGGGAGTTATGCACAGGAACCCAACTCCTTTATACAATAACATGGCTAAGATATTAACTCTGATATCAGGGTTATGGGGGAGGAGGATAAGGCTTAACCACTCCTGATCCTGCACATAGGGGGAACTGGCCTTTGATTGCATTCCTTTTCTCAGTTCCTATTTTCTGTAAGCAGCCTATATGCTGTTGGAGAACACCTGCTTTGTAGAGACAGGGATCATGTCCAACCTTGCCGTGTACTGGCTTTGTCCACAGACAAGTTACTTTCACCTCTCTGAGCCTCGGTTTCTTCATCTGTAAAGGGACAATAATGCCTACTCCAAGGACATGGAAGAATTAAGGAGCACATGGCAGATGGAACTTTTCAAATATGGCCTAACTGTATCTCCCATCCCACATGTGCTATGAGAACCTGGCCCGCATCCCATCAGGGAGTGGTTCCTAATTCCTCTGTTCTTAATTCTGGACGGGCAACCAATAGAATGCTGAGGAAATTATGCAGTTTGACTTTGGAGGCTGGGTTACAAAATGATGATGCTTTTGCCTTGTGAACCTGAACTGCCACGGCAAGAGTCCTACCAGCTTGAAGCCACTATTCTGTGAGGAAGCCCAGGGTTTGGTCAGCAACCTCAGCTGAGATCTCAGCATCAACCACTGTCATCTGAGTGATGGCTCCAGGGGATTCCATCTCCCAGTTGTCAAGCCACCACCAGCCATCAAATCTTCCCAACTGAAGCCCTGGATGTTACGGAGCAGAGTCAAGCCATCCCCACAATCACCTACCCAAATTCCTGACCCATAGAATCTATCACATAATAAAATGGTTGTTTTAAACAGCTAAGTTTGGGGTGCTTTGTCACACTGGAGTAGTACTGGGAATAGCACTTGAAGTGCTGAACCCACAATTGGCTAATGGTCCCACACCCACAGTGTATGAGTTTGGGTCACACTCTTCCTTTATGTCTTAATGTAATTCACTGTCATTTCATTTTTAAATGCTCTCTTCTGTTTTCAATATGTTTTCGTGTTCTTACTCTGTGCCGGGCACTGTGCTGAGTTGAGGGATGCAGACATTAAAGACTTGCTCTGTTTGTTTTCTTAGGAGCACTGACTATTCAAGTTGGCAAACAACTCTCTAATTTACCTCAAATCTGAGACCTAGAGATGTGAAGCAAGGTTATTTTAGATTACTACCTTTAAATTAGTTATTTTTAAACTAAAGGAGTGAAGTAGGTTACCATCTGAGTCTCTTGACATGTGGTCCAATCCTTGGTCCATAACATGGCGCTACCTTTCAAAACCGCCCCCTTCATTTCAAACCTGAGATGTGGATGGGGAGAGGTGAGGAAGCTGACAGAGAAAATAAATGTTAAAATGACTGAGGAGAAGGACAGATGGTAGGGTCCACTTTTCAGGAATTGACCAGTCTTTTCTATGAGCTGCCCTCTCTTTCTGTATCCCTCATCTACCCTACACTGTACCACTCTCCAGCCACAGATGATTGGGCCTGGAGTGAACTCCTGTTCCATGTGTTCAACCCAGAAGCTGGGCTGGGCTGGGCTGGGCTCAGCCTGAGCCAGTCGAGTTATCCCTCCTGGATATTTGACATTGAGGCAGCAGAAGCTATGTCTTTAGCCAGAGGCACCAGATTTGAAGGTGATGATCTTATATCAGGTTCCCTCCAAGCAGCAGGATTGACTGAGTGAGTGCTTTTTCTACACCTGAAAGATGGTGAGCGGGGCCCAGGGCAGGGAAAGATGCTATGTGAAGATGCCATTTCAAAGTCTGGCTTCAGTCCGACCCCATGGGGAACTCTATAGCATGAATTGTACCGCAGAGCATATCCTGCCTCGAGGCAAGGAGGGTGGACTTTTATAGCCTCTGATCTGATAGTTAATGTCCAAAAAGTGTGGGTCATAATCTCTCAGGAATCTCCAGCAGAGAAGGTTGGCTAAGGGCAATGCTCCACAGAAGGGTACAGCTGTGAGCTGTTAAGTAGCACCCAGGTCTGCTGCAGGATGGTTACATCAGCCTACTAAAGGCCATGCGGGTGGGATACCAATAGCATAAGCCACAGTGACACTGCCTGGGGAGCTGAAGACACCATTTTGGAGCAGCCATGATGGTCCATGTACCAGAGGAGCAGAGAAGGTTGGTCTCAAAAGTGAGAAGGGAATGAAGTAGAAGCTCAGAAAGAAGCAAGAGTGAGAAACTACATAGTCTGAGGGATGGAGAGAGGAAAAGGGGGTAAGAAAAGGGAGAGGGAGAGAGGGAAAATGGGAGTAGAAAAAGGAAGTGAGGGAATGAGCAGAAGAAGATTGGGAAGTCTGGTGTCCCTGAGAAGTTAATGCACAAATCTTTAGTAGGTAGTATCCTTGAGAGCAACATCTGGAAGGGAGGAGAAAGAAGAATTTGTCAGAGAGAAGCTGAGCTGTGTTGCAGTAGGGAGCTCTAGTGCTGAGAGGTCTCTTCCCAGTTGTCCCAAGCTGGAGCAAGGGGACCAGAGCTTTATACCTTCGTGTTGATTACCCATTAAATGTGGCCATCCTTAGGAGAAAGTGTGGCTTTAGATGGGGCTGTTTTCTTAGCCAAGGCAATCCCCAAAGATGGCAGACAGCAGAGGCTCATCTTACAGCCACAGCTGGAAAACAAACCCTTCATTCTTGAATGAGGATGGGTGGTGCAACTCAGCCTCAAATTGCAGAGGAAAGAGACAGGAAGAAGGGTGAGTGAGAGAAAAGTGAGGAGCAGCAGCCTGGATTCCATTTCCTGCTTCATCCTCATTAGTACCTGCCCCTGAATTTCTTTAGGTACTTCTGTAGTCTTTTAATAAAAACCACCACCACCTCTTCCCCCCCCCCTGCCCCCCCACACACACACACATACACACTTTATTTTATTTTATGTTAGTTTGAGTGGATTTCTGTACTTGCCACAAAGTTAGCTTCCACTAAGTCAGGATGTTTAGGTACAATGGACTATAATATAGATGTGTATAGATATGATGGTGAGTACGAAATATTTCAATCTCTGCTATTCAAACTGTAAAACTTCTATTAATCTATCCTCAAGTTCATCAATTCTTTCCTCTGTTATCTCCAACCTCAACTTTCTTGAACAAGTAGTATTATTTCAACTAGACCAGTGCTTCTCCACGTTAAATTTTTTCTCAGTGTTTAAAAAGGTTTGGACCATAGAGATTTAAAAATCTCCAGTGCATTTTAGACCAATGTAACCTGTTTGTATTGTGAACCAATATTTTTGGAAGTTAGAATAAAAGTGAATTACTAAAAAAATGATCACTTGCTTGGTTTTTTGTGGTCATGTCAAACGGCCTATAAAAGTTTAGAAGTGTTTCCTCTCCAGTTCTGTGCTTATCTCATCCCACACTGATTCTAAACTTTTCCTAGACTGGCACTGGCCCTACTGCCACATCTATAGGTACACTAAACTAGTCAATTAGAGCTCAATGCATTCATCTCAGCTCTTACAGTTAGTTATACATCAGTCTTAAAATGGGATATGCATGCATTTTAATATGGCTGCTATCAAGGGCATGGGGCATCCAGAGATACCACAAGCCCAGAAGACCTACAAGGCCTTAGAAAGTCCTGAAAGTGGAATTTAAAATCTAGCCCAGCTTCTCCTCCCACTCTCCACTTCACCCACTCCCCAGTTACCCATGCAACTTGACAAGCCCTATTTATCTAAGCGCACTTCTGTGCCGAGACTGCTCCCTCCACCTACAATCCTCTTTCCCCACCCTTCCATTTATTTTTTAAATGTTTTTATTAATTTTAGAGAGAGAAAGGAAGATAGAAAGAGAAACATCAATCAGAGAGAAACAGCAACATTGATCGGTTGCCTTCTACACGTACCCTCCTCCCACTGGGGATCAAGTCCACAACCCATGCATGTGCCCTGACTGGAAATAGAACCAGTGACCTTCTGGTGCATGGGTCTATGCTCAACCACTGAGCAGCACCAGCCAGGCTACTTTTTTAAGTTTTAGTCCTTCTCCTCCAATCAGTTAGATGGGACTTCTCCTTTCTCTGGTTTTCTCAGCCCATTGTTTTTACCATGAACAAGGCTCATAATTCATTTTGCCTTGCATAATCGTTAGTTGTTGTTATATCCATCTCTCCACCAGGTTACACATCCCTGAGATCAGGACTATGTCTTAGGCATATGGCATTCTTTCTTCTATCTCACCCCATACTCCATCCCCTAGAACAGTCCTACTTTGTAGAAAGTCCATAAAGTTGGTGGAAATGAAATAGTTTTAAGCACCTTCAGACTTCCTGTTTGCATATCTGAGAAGCGAATGCACCCCCTACTGTGAATTCCCAACCCTACAAAGTATCTTGGCTACAGATTACCCCAAAAGAATAGGCCTGCCCATGCCCACCTGCTTCACAAGGGTAATCGATTGAACTGAAAGATGAAAGAGATAATATTTCCTGAGTAAATTTTTATTGAAACAGAATGTAGGCCTACCTAAAACTTGGTCCACAGAACTAAAGAATGGGAACTGATTTAATTAATCTATGGAGACCCAAAGAGCAAGAAGCTTCATACTAACACTTTCGGAAAGTCTATGCCCTTTGAAATTTTTATACCTAAAGAGGGATCCACATCCTTGGTCTACACCACTCAGAGATCCCCAGATGGAGCATCTTGCCCGGCTGAAGCTTTTAACAATTGTTCTCAGCAAAACTGTGTCCCAGAAATCAGTCCTCTGGACAATGCCTGATCCCAGGACAGCTGTCCTCTGTACTTCAGGCTCTTGATCCTGTCTACCCTCCCATACTTAAAAATTCTAAAACAAACAAAACAAATTTAATATGAAAATATTATTTAATATTTTCATTTAATTATAACAATAAATGGCATTTATTAAGCACTTACTCTGAGCCAGGCACTATACTAAGTTCTTTATCTATAGTATCATTCCATCCTCTGTAATTTTATAATAATAGTATTATTTGGCAAATGAGAAAGCTGAAACTTAGAAAAGCTAAATAACTTGTATATAGTCATATAGTTAGTTAAGAAATAGAGTTAAGATTCATTCAGATAGTGTCCAGCAGTGGCACCATGCTATGAAGTGCTTAAAGACATAATATATATTAATAATTCAGAACTCTGTGAACTGACAGATGGATACCCCCCTCAGGAGTCTGAGTGCCCCCAGTACCCTAAGGCTATCGATTGGTATATTTACACCTATGGACACAATGAGCTCAATTTCATTCAAGACACTTAGTGAACACCTACTACGTGCAAAGCATTATGGTAGGTGATACTAAGAAAGCAAAATGAGTAAGAAGTTGTCCCTACCCTTAAAGGATTTACACACCACTAGGGCTTATTTCTAAATTTCTTATTTGCAGCATCCACAAAAAATAAAAGAGGCAAAGTAAGTTCTATAGGGATCTAAAGGAGAAGTGAAACATGATCTATGTTTTCCTGCTCTTTGCCTGAAGGTCTATCCAGTTGGTGCTTACAATATTTCTGTCTTTGGGACAGTGGGCATAGTGGTCAATAGCTTGTGTTTTAGACTCAGGCAGACCTGGATTTGCATCTCAAAGTGGCCACCTACTAGTTCTATGACCTTGGGCAAGTTAATAAATTTTCAGCTGTAAAATGTGAATAATAATCATCGTAATAGATTTTATAATACAAGCCTTCCAACTATCCCAGGAGGAGGTTACTATTAATACCTACATTTTACTGATGAGCTTAGTAACTTGCTGATGTACACAAAGCCAGCAAGCCTGACCTGGGAGCCTGTACCTCACCACTCTTTTCTGCTATCTTGGGGAATATTGTGAAAGTGGTGTATTCCTGCGTAGAAGCTGTAATCATTGTCAGGTTAGGCAGAGGACTCCTGTGTGCCATTACATCCTTCTCTGTGAGGGCTGAGGTTGTCTGAAGACTTCTAGAAGAGATGAGATAAAAATCCAGGTGATCCTGCCATCAGAGGCAGTTGAGCCCTCTAAGAGAGGGGCAGATAGCCCGAGTGAAGTGAACAGATCACTCCAGCAGCATCCCCAGCTCTGGCATGGAAGACAGCAGGAGTCAGGTATTCCTACTAAGGAACT